GTGCTTAAAGATGCAAAAAGTCCCGCAGCTGGGATGTCAATCTCTTCTTCACGGACCTTAAATACCTGAAAAACTGCATTGCCTCTGACTGCACTCAAAGGCTGCATATGGCAGGAATGATCTTCCAACCCAGCTATTGCCCCATCCTGTCCTGGTCTGTTCTGTCCCTAACAGCAGCAAGTAATTAACAGGGAACACAGTCAACAGAGGCTCTGTAAGCCATGTCTAAAGGAGGTGACTGACAGCAATATTCTCAACTTCCTGCTCCGATCATGGCTAAGTCAATATTTATCTTTTAGGCCTCGGTATACTAAGCAGGAGGAGATTGAGTCTTGTCTCATGAGTCACTTCTTAAATTTAACAGGAAGATCATCCCTTCTAAAACTATCTTTGGAAAAACTTGGAAAGAGATGTTGATGCTATTGAGCTTTACTGTAGCTATGCAAGGAAAGTGCTCGTCCATCCCCCATCAACATTTGCTGACCTTACTGCCTTCTGCTTCATTGCTTTTCATAATCAAACTGATAGCCTTGTTTGTTTCAAAATGCAGCACAGGAAACAGCTACAGTAGGATCTAATTACCTCATTCTCATTCTGTGTAAGGACATTTCCAGATAAACAGCAGGATTTCAACACTGTTTAAAGGTCTTCCCATGCGAGCCATCCGTATCTAACATCAGACTGTTCCTCATTTATCTCGACTTCCCCAGGTAACAGTTTTGATAGCTCTAGATAATAAAAACTAGAAGTGCCTTGCCACAAAGACTGCGCTTATTCCAAGGCAGATGTCACGACGATGACAGGTGAGCATTGCAGTTCCAGTTGTCACAAGGATATCAGCATAGCAGGTGGCAGCTGTAACCCTAGAGCGAAGTATTACTCTTTGTCTTCTCAGCTAAATCTGGGAGCTGTCACTTAGCCACTCCCCACCCCAGCAGCCCTGCTTGGAGCTCACCAGGAATCCTTGCACAGGGATGAACACGCTGCTGCAGCCTGAGGCTCACGTTCTCCCTCGTCATTTGTTTTGGCATTGAAAGGTGCCCTGTTTGAAGACTATAAAAAAAAATGACTGATGATTTTTTAACAAGCCCTTTGAGGAACATCTTACTCAGAGAACAACTTAAAAGCTACAAATTGTGGGGATAGAATGAAGCAGAGTTGAGGGGCAGCTCTCAAAGTATTAGGGACCCTGATAAAATAGACTTTCTATCTTAGCTCTGGCATCACATTGGCCTAACAGTATTTCTGTTAGTGATGGGGAGGTATGATACAGCAGAAATGTAGCAGCTGGATCACAGTGCTAAGCAGTGGCCTTGCACTTGCTGTTTCAGAGGATTTAAAATGTCCATATGTACCTTCTTTCTTCTCAGACTGAGATAATGACAGCTGTGAGACATGATTAGAAGATATTTTTGTAAGAAAAAGGTGACAAAAGTGGTCAGCATCCATATGAGGAGAGCATAAGTTCAGGCTCTTCACCTTACAACATACAACAGAGGGTTGATATGACAAAGATTAATTAAATTATTATTATTAAGTGGAATAGACAATAATTACTCATTACTTCTCATAATACAAAATTCAGGAAAGCATTCAAGTGGTCAGGGCAATTCTTCAAAACCAATGAAAGAAAAGTGTTCCTTTACTTTGACAGCTCAGCTTATACCAAAATGTATTCAGTCATGCTTGCCCACTAGTACCTGCTTATTGCTTTCTTCAGAATGTCTGAAACACAGCCACTAAATAAACTTCACACACAGAAATCCTTGTAGTTCTAGTGCTGATCCTGCTGGGTTTCACCTTTGTTTGATTTGGATGGTGAAGCAAACAAAGGTTCTTAGAAATGGATCCTACTGATACGGGCAGAGTGACTCATATTGTGCCAGATTTGCTTGTAGAATTCATTTCAATGGGGATATGAGGAGGCCAGAATCAGAAAGTGTTAAAAAGGAATTAGGCAATATAACAGGGATGGGACTATTAGTGACAATAAATCATTGTGTCCAGCTCAGTAAAAACTATGAAACACTCTCAAGAGACAGGAAACTGGGCTGAACAGACCTTCAGCTTCATCCAGTATGGCATTTTGTGTTCCTACATATCCCATGTACAGACTTCTGGCAGCTCTGAGGAGCCCACTACTGATGCCCTGGCTCCTCAACTAATAAAATGTAGCTGGAAAACATCCAGCTTGCCAACTGGTATTGCAGCCTCAGAGCTTCGTTACTTTCAAACACTCATTTCTCCTTCTGACACCACAAAAAATATCACCCGCTTCTCACGTTGCTGGGGAGGGTTTATCCTGAGTGCTGAAACTGCAAGCTGGTCTCAAACAAACAGCAAAACAGCAGTCTGTGTTCTTTTACCCTACCCTAGACTCCTAGATATCACCATGGGCAGCTGGATCTGCAAGCTCACCTGCTGTTGTGCCTGCAATAAGTGTAATAGTCACAGCCAGGCAAAACACAAGAGCTGCTGTGAGCTCCTGATCTAATTATACACTGACATAATTTGGCTGGAGTTGGCATTCACTAAAGAGATGTCAAAGTAAATGATTTCGCTCTCTTTATGCAGCCACGGCAATGTTAGCAGCAAGGGAAATTCCTGGAGGAGATTAAAATATTCAAAATTCATTGCAGATACTTTGTGAGCTTCTATCCTAAATAAGTAGAGGATAATCCAATATTCTGATGCCTGAATTTTGGAGGCACCTGTCTTTCCTTATATCATTTGGCAAAGGCAATAATTTGCCCGATCTGAAAGAGAGTTTGTGATTAGTTGCCAACTCCGGCTGCGTAACCCCTGCATGGGTCTCCCCATTGTCACTGCGATGGCATGGTAGGATGCTATATTTAAGACTCCAGGATGGGCACTCCAACATGGGGAACATTCTTTTGAGGAGAGTCATTCTTAGTGTCATCAACAGGGAGAAGGAAACACTCCTTTGTCCCTTCTCTTTCATGAGGACAGGCACTCTCACTGTAGTCTTCACAGGGTGAGTTTGGTTTATCTGTAAATAAACTAAGTGTTTCTAGCAAGATTTTATAAGATCTTCATAGCAGCATCAGTTATTTTGTATGATCACTTTATTTGAATTGCACTTCAGAGATAGACTGTGCTTCGTGATTGTATCTCCTGTAAAGTGTCATTACTGTTTTTCCAGTGTTGTTCTTATGAAAATACTGTTTTACTTCATGTTTTCTCAACAATAATTTATTCTGGTTTACTGGTCTGCACTGAAAATTTTCTAGGGAAAAATAAAAGCATTATCTAGCAAAAAATTAACCTGTATTGGTAACTATTCATGAAAATGGAAACTAAGATCTGATGCCCAGTAGTCATTCGGCAGCTGAAATAGTCCTGAAGACAGTAGTAGTCTATGAAATTACAAAGATACTTTTTCCATAAAAGCCTGGTTTATTTTCTCTTTCTTATACTTGCCAACATTTCTTTGTTTCTTTCAAAGTTAACATCTGCTGAGGAACTGTATTTTCATTTGCATTTTGGGATATTTTGCATTTACTACAACAGCTTTGCTTTTCCATGGACTGCTTTTTAAGCAATTTGTTTCCATTAACAGTAAATTGTACTACTAGGAAAAGCTGAGGGTTTTGTACTTTTTATCATTTTAGGATTAGAAAGCAGTAAAACTAAAATCCAGGTGTAAAATTTGAAAACTTCATTAATGGAACATGAGCAAGGGAAAGATTTACAAGTATGTTTGAATATTATTCAGCAACAATTTTATTTCCAAAGCTATTTTTATAAAGTAACCTAAGCTTCTAGAACTTGAAAATCTGAACAGTTTAAGGATTGTGCTGTGTGTTTCTGAACCAACTGCAGGATAGAATGAGATAAGGAGGATACACTTTTAAAATTTACTTTAGTTTAATGCCCACTCATTAGTCAGTGCCTAAAAGCAGCACGCTGCTTGTTTCCAGAGGAGAGGCTGCAGGAACAGCATCGATCTTCAGCAGCTAACGCAGGAGAGAGATGGGAGCCAGGAGCAGTGATGTTTGCTCCCCATGTTTTACCTCTGGGGAGGGATCTGTCTGGGAAGGGCCTCTCTGGTCACTCTGGGGAAAATCCTGCTGTTTACTGAGCACTTCCTTTAAGGTTAACATTTTGAAGGATGTGATGTTTTCTCCGTGATTTATCAACTTTTTTTCCAAGACCTAAGAAGAAACAACTGATCTCTCAGGATGCTCTCAAAGGACTGGGTAAAGCATTATCCTCTTAAAGTACTGAGGCTGAAGAAGTGCTGTGTTTCAGCAATGGCAACTGGAACTCGTTAGTTCCAGAAAATCCACTTGGATTTTCCAACTACTACAGACACCAAGTGATTTCTGCACAGCAGCCTGTGTGTTTGTTCAGCAGCATTGCCTTATCTAACCCCTGGCACATCCAGGCAGGGTCACAACATGGTGCAATCACAACCTGAGGGGCAGGTCACAGGCTATTTGGCACCATAGCTTCCCCTGCAATACAGTTTCCAGACTAAAAACATGCTTATTTTCTAAACTTTTCCTCCTTATCTCAGTGTCTGATGTTCCATTCTTTATTTTGTCCCTAATTTTCCATGTCCCTCTGATCTCCCTTCTCATGATGCTCCTCATTCGTCTGTTTGCTATATTGGGGGTCTGATCTCATGGAACTCCCTGGAAGAATATCCACCAGATTTAGAGCATAAGATCAGTCCTGGGAAAACAAATATACACACAAAATGCTGCCTACCTACTGTTCTGTTACAGCTACAGCTGCCTTTAAAGACTTATTAATTTCTTCATCTGATTCCATTTTTCACCAAAGCATCACAAAACAAACCCCCTTCATAATCTGAATTCCAGAAGATAATATTATATGAACTTTCATTCACGGCCCTTGAATATCAAAGCAAAGCAAAGACTGAATTTAAAGAGATTCTGTTAAGGTGTCTTATTTGAAAGCCACTTTATGTTTTATTCTATTCCAGCAAGAAAGTTTGTAATTGACTTTCCAGCATGGGAACCCGAACGTTCTTCCACCACAGGGAGGAGGAGCAGAAGGAAGAGAGGCACCAGAGCTTGGAAATGACCTCCACAACTAGAAAGAAAAAGTTCAAAACCAGGTAAGCCACAGAGTTAAGGGACAGGCCGAGTAAACCAGGTCCAGACAGGACTTTCTTAAACTTGGAACTGAGTGTTCACAGATTTGTTGAATTTTGAGCTTATGAAATCATGGAACTTTGTCTGGATTCTTTCACATGCATCTGCCTCTGGAAGTGAGGAAGAAGAGACTTTCAGCCCTTCAGAGTTATCGATAGCAGCTGCTCTCGCCTTGACTTCTGAAATACCACAGTAAGTCAGAAATCATTGTAACTCAGATACAACCACTGTACACAACATCACCTTTGTACATAGGGGTCACAGTTTCCAACTCATTTCACTGGAAGCAAAAAGAGCAGGTTCAATCAAAAGGTTCTTCCCTTAAAACAAAAAAATGCCAGACTTCAACTAAAATGCAAGAAACTAAATTATATCGCCTTGGTAATTGTGATAATGAGTAATACTGCCCTGCTCACAAGCAAGGGCTTAAGAGAAACCAGATTTCAGAGGAATAAATGGAAAATACAGTCAGATTAATAAATTAATGGTAACAGACAGAACTCCCCCTCTTTCCTAGAAAATCATAGCAATGACCCTGCTGTCCATCCTTCTGTGATGGCTGAACAACCGAAGTTGTTAACAACATCCCTCCTCCCTTTAATCCTTCTTTAATTCTTCTTCCAGTTCCCTCCCTGAATTAAAACTGGTCAAATAGTGGGTCCCCTTCTTGTGCCACTAAAGTATTATCTCTCATGGTAGTGCTGCTGGTTCCTATTTCATACCCATACTGCATGTTTCTGTCCTTAATACTTACTCAGATTTAACCCAAAATATGTGTTACAAAACAACAACAAAAACCCACCAAAATAAAAAGCATCATCCTGACTTCTGTTGGCTTTTACCATCCTGTGTTCCAGGGATTACAAGCTAAGAAGAGAAGCTGCCATCCTAGAGCTAGAACAGAGAGGGCAAAAGAGAATTCGGTTTGGGAATGAGATGGAAAAGTTGGAAAAGGAGGTGATTTGGAACTGCAGACTGCTGCGTGTGAGAGCTGACCGGAAGGCCCTTCGGAGAAAGGTCAGATCAGACATCTCTATGGGTAGCAGAAACATCAACAGGATTAAAATTGGAAAGACTAGCATTCTGGAGAGGAGACTAAACCTCACCAGGTTTAGAGGATACTAAACAACTTCTGTGCAACCTGGCGTAGGGAACCTGCTCTGGCAGAGGGGTTGGACTGGATGATCTCCTGAGGTCCCTTCCAACCCCACCAGTCTGTGAGTCTGTAATTGGGTGTTAGGACATCCTCAAAACCATAGAAATAAGGACAAGGCCCGATACTCCTGCCACTGAAGGATTAGCACATGTCCCTTCTGTAAAAGAACTGGTGTAGTTAGAACATAATCCCCCTTTTGTAAAAGAACTGGTGTGGTTAGAACATAACCCCTTCCTATTGCCTTTATTTAGTGTCTCCTTGTCACAGGCTGTAGAAAAGGCCCGTGTGGAGAAGGAATACATTGAGCTGCGTTCAGGGCGACCACCTATGTTCTGGATCCCCCTCAGAGCACATGCAGTCTGGGAGAGGATGGACGTGACGCTGGCGTGTACAGTCCTGGCCTCCCCACCGCCGCAGGTTACTTGGTACGTCACTCGACAGCAATGACGCGTGTTGCCCATGGGGCTCACAGTCTGTGTGCGTTTCAGGAAGCAACTAGAGGAGTAACAGCTGTGTCCTGCTAGAAAGAAGGAAGGGAAAGCTTCAGAAATCATAGAAAATACTTTCAATTCTCCAGTTCCACTGTTAGGACCAGTAGAGACACTAAGTATTCAGTAGGCCATGGAGGCAGTGGACATTTCCATAGGGCTCCTTCTGGGATATGACTGATGTTCATGGAGATCTCCCTGCTTCCCTTGGTGCTGCCTAAGGCAAACTTGGAATTTAAGTCTTGGAAACAAGAATCTCTTGCTAGCACTAAATCACCGCACAGATGCACGCACCATCAAGGCTTGGCTACCTTGGATACCATGTGAGTTTTCAGCATTAAACTGCTATGGCTTCTACAGTTCATAAAATCCAAACCAACTCTTTCATTTACTCAGCTTTGTGTATTTACCAAACCACAGGAGAGGAAGCGTTATGTACTGGGCCCAACTGCAGCCTTTACCATTAGTAACAGAAGGATGGAAATAAATGAAAGTTCACCCCAAAAACAATTTGCAAAGTTACTTATATCAGTTTGATAAAATGATTGACCATTCCTCCCATGGAAGGTTTGAAGTATGCAAACATTTGGATTATTAATGACTTAGTAGGCAGCTAACTCCACTACTGTCAGAGCTCCTGATGTCCTGCATCCTTCCAGAACAACCTCTTTGAATTATTCAAAGACCAAAGAGAATCTGAACCTCCCACAGATCCCCAGCAAACACAAAGAAGCAAGAGACATCTGCTCCAACTCCCTCACACAACCTGCAAAGCAGGGAGCGTAAACTGAGGAGGAAGCAACAAGCCAATGCTAAGCTGCCCGTAGGCAGTCTGCAAGCAGCCCTAGGGAAGGAGCACAGGCAGGACTAGGGGAAGGGATCTAGGTTAGCTGCAAGGCTCTTTTGGATTGATGTGGGAGACTTCTAAAAGAGGGAATTGTGTCTACTCCTCTTTTCTGCTGTGCCTCTGTTGTGTTTGACATGGTTAATTTTAAAATAAAGTGTTAATTTTACCAGTCACTTTCTCTGTCCTTTCCTAAGCAGCATGTTTCCTTTGTGTTCAACTAGGTATAAAAACGGAGTCCGTATTGATCCTCGCCTAGCCCCACCTGGAAAATACAAGATCAAAAACAAGTTTGGGATGCTGACCTTGCACATCAGCAGGTAATGTATGTGCTCTTGTCCAAGTTGTTTTTTTCAGTTGAATAAGACCTGCTCTCCTGAAACTCCCAGTTTGTGTGTGCTAAACAAAAAAAGATCATTCTCCTGGAATCTGACCCAGCTTGATTTCAGTGTGTTCTATCTGAGCTCAACTTTTGCCATTAGGAAGCAATTAGAGCCATATATATTTTTGCTTCTCTTTTTATGCGTGGCTAAAATGCTCTCATTCAGGGTAAGGCCATGCACATTAAGAGCACTTCACAAGCAGACATGCCAGTGTGATTTAGGATGGATCGATGGAATCAGAATAACATTAATTCAACTCTGTGAATTGTACGTGTGATAAAGACACACGCCTGTCTTTAGTGGATCCAAGTGTTCCACAGGTCTTCTGCTTGTTCATTACTTGAAATGTTTTGCTTCTGGGTATCCACAGTGTTATTGTTAGTGAAATTATGGCTTTTGTGTGGGTGGGGGTTTTTTTTAAAGACTGAGAAGTGCAATGTCAACATAATGTCACAGAAAACATTTAAGATTGTGAGTTTCAGTAAGAAGTTATTTTACTTCTGAGCTATTTAAAATCACACAATCATGATGGGATTTTGGTACCTGAATATTAGCAGCGTGGTTTATCTTTTTAAAACATCTGTACCTGCTGTATCTCTTTAGTTTTTTGCAGTTACTTCTACTATGTGAAAATAGAACCAAGAGTGTATTTGCTCTGAGATGATGTCTTGTGTGCAAATTACACCAGAAATTTCAGGCTCAAGCATGCTTATCTGCTGATTGATTTCCCACTGTGATGATTTATTAAATCATAACATGAAATATGGAATTGCAAATGACAGTGACTCCATTAGAATAATAATTAAAATCTAAAATTAGTATTCTCATCAGAGTTGGGCAATTACTTCAATTATGGTTGGACTCAATGATCTTAAAGGTCTTTGCCAACCTAAATGATTCTATGATTCTCTATAATCAAGAGAAAAAAATTGACCAGTAAGTAAAAGAAATCCTTGTAATCAAAAGAAAAAGCAGCTTCTTGATGAAAATCAAATATCTACTTCTGCCTTCTGGGATTAAAGGAGAACCCCTCTGAGTTTGTTCTGTGAAGTATGAACAGTAACTGAAAGCTAAAAAAGAGGGGAAATGGGGTTTTTTTCCAGATGCTCCATGGAAGATTCTGCTGAATATAGTGTTGAAGTTAAGAATCAATACGGCGAGGCTTATTCATTTGCTACAGTGCTTGTAAGGAGTAAGTAGAAAATGTTCCTTTGGGTTTCAATTTTCCAACTCTTTAGATTCTTCAAAATATTTTCAATGCTAAACATTATATCATAGGAACATACAATGACTCCGGAAAAACAGTGAAAGAAGTGAGCACTCTTAATAGGAGAGGAGAATTTCTCTCAGTTATTAGTGAGGAGAAAGCACAACTGGCTAAAATAGTCCTTAGCTCCCACTAACTCACGTCCACGGCTGATAGAACAGCTTCTCTTTCTCAGTCACTTCTGGACTCAGGCAAAATCTTTCAGATTCCATACGGACACAGCTGTCCTTCCACTGTGCTAAAATTGTACTAAATTTAGGTACTTATTTCTTTTGGATTGATATGAAGCAGCCATACAGTTAAATACATAACTGGCTTAGAAAGAGTCTGCTGCATTTCTAAAGATAAGCAAGAAATTGGTTAACAAGTCCTGTGGCTCTTAAAGGGATCTCTCAGTGCAGTGTTGCACAAAATACCATATTTCTTCCTCAAATCAGTAACTACCAAGAGCAAATACAAGATTTTCTTCTTTGATCTGTGCCATTCTTAAAATAACTGGTGTAGACTCTGTAGATACACATTCTGCACAAGCCAAATCCAGACATATGGTGAAAGAACTAAACTACCAGTACTTAAAAAGAGAAATTATAGCAAGCTTTAAGAAGTAGGCAGTGTAGTCTCATAGGATCATAGTTTAGCTGTTCATATTTCATATATATATAAAAAATAATATTTTTGTCATAAAAAGCCTGAAAAAATAGAACTACAGAACTGTAAATAAGTAAACATTTCAGTGGGACTGACAAGAGTCCAGGGAATAATTCAAATGGTAACAGATGAGTAGAAAGGGAAGAGGTTTGCTTTGGGTATCTTACTGGTCACAAAGAGATGGGTTTCTTTGACTGGTTGAATTGCAAAACCAGCTTGAACTATTTTTTCAGACAGAAGGGGTCTTCTGTGGTTTAGATAGTGTATTTATTGTTAGTGCTTTAATATATTCTTGGCTCTGCCATGGGTTATGTATTATCATACTTAGTCTTTGCAGGCCGTATTTTGGTCACATCTGAATACCATTTGGGGTACATACACGTACAGAAGAATGTGACTCCAGAATTGTACTAGAAGTGTATTGTTTATGAGAACTTTCCAATCCTTTAATTAAATACTGTCAAAATTCAGCATATCTGGAAATATTCAGCACATGTTTACCAGTTCTAAAGGGACATGTATAACAGCCCAGAAAACCTTCATTTGCAAGCCTTCCCAAATTCCTAAATTCCCCTTACCCTAAGGCAGAAATACAGAAAATGTTACCAGATGTGCAAAGCTTCTCTTCTCTAAAGGTTCTTAGGGTATGGCCAGAACTCAGGAACTGGGCCTTTGCCAGAAAGCAGAAGCAGCTGTCTGAAAAAAAGATCCATGGCAATAATCACATACTCCTCCCAATTCTCGTCAGGATCTTTAGGATCAGAGCAAGCATGATGATAGAATAAGGGCTGTGGTCTGTCACAGAAAACCTTGGATGGGACTTCGCTCTTCACCTCCAAGTGCCTGATTAAACTGTCCTTCATCGGGGCTGATCAGCACTTCAAACAGCTTGCAAACATTGCTCCTTGTGATTGCGGGGGAGAGGCCCACACTGTTCCTTCTCCCTTGACCCTGGTCTAATGCCATCCCAGTAACATGATTCTTCCTTTTGCTATTTGCATTTAACATTCTGAAAATAGAGACTACGCCAAGGCCTTAATCCTTCCTCCACTGCAAACATTCCTCATCCCCCAGGCAGCGCGATGGCATCTCTTCTCCTGGCCCCACGCTGTCTGGAATGCCCTTGATGCCAGGGCAGGGTCTCCGGGATCCATGGTTCCTATAGCAGAAGTTCACTCTCCCTAAAGCCATCACTGAGGGTCTCACCAGACCTGGGATGAGGCTGCACTTTACCTCTTGTGGTTTCTATTTCTTTCCTCTTCAGCTATTAACACTCAGTCCTCACCTTTTGCTTATGAGTGAGCTCTGCTACTGCCAAGCTTCATTCATTGAAAAAACAGGCATTATTTTAGGTGTATTTCTTGTGGCTTATAAAGATAAGAAAGTATCTCAATTTCATCCTGTGTTAAGTGCATCAGTTCTTAGATTTCAGCTCCAAATAATTTCATTTTGTGCTGTGATGGAATGGCCTTGTTCTAGTTCTAGGTCTAGTTCTAGTTCTCACAGGCTAGATCAGGTGAAGTGGGTCAGCGCTGACATACAATGCCTCCAAAAAACCCACGGCCACTGTAACAAGTGATTTGGTCAGGGACACACTCCCCTCAGCTCCAGGAGTTACCTCAGTGTCTCAGGACAGATATCCTTTCTTTTGCTTAAAGCCTGAAGTCCCAGTCACTGGTAGTCTTCCAGAATCCCACATCATCCTCTGGGAAAGCTGTTTAAAGCCAGGGGTTTGGCCAAATTCCACTTTCAGTCATGTTTATGACATCAACACTTTTTTCTTTCCCTTTCCATGCTGTATGTGGCAATGAGGAGTTGTCATCTTCTGTCTCCAAACAGGGACATCATTGAAGTGTTTCAGCTATGGGTGATCCTAGATTGTCACGATTCTAATTTGGACAGTACCATACTGCTCCACTCATATGACAAAAGTTGTAGCTCCTTGTATGCACACTTTTATTCAGCGTAACTTTCTTAGTGCAGTTTAAAAAGACAGAATCCAAACTGAACAAAACCCCCTCCTTAGCTAAGAGGAACTGTTTGCACGTGAGCATTTAAAGCAGTTTTACTTACACTCGTACAGTCACATGAACAATTTCCTGTGCAGACACATCCTCAGCCATTTATGAAGGTCATCAGCTGCCAAATGAGTTAGTTTTACCACATGATGACATTTTGAAGGTTCACATTAAGAGCTGGTTTGAGGGGAAAACACAGTTTGTTGAGCATCATTGTATGTTTTTGAAGGGACAAAACACTGGCATGAAATTTGTTAAATGTATTTTCTTCTTGCCTTATAGAATATTACGGAAAGGAGTCAGGATTTGATTCAGAAATATACAGAAGTGAGTAAATGACTGTTATTATTATTTATTTTTATAGCCTGAAGCTATTTGATTCTTCTTTTCCTGAGCTATACGTTTTCCTATGAGCCTGGCTGCATGTGAAAGGTGCGAGGCTCAGGTACCACTCTAAATATATGATAATAAAAACACTTCAAGGAGGAAGGCTCTGGCCAGTCTCTGTATGATGCTGACTTTTACTCTTATTTCATAGGATCCCTTATGGCCAGAGAAGCAGATTTTGCTTTTCCACTGAAACCCTTATTTTCAAGAGAAAAGGAGCCTTTCACCCTCTCCTGTTACTTCTCTTCTGATTTACTTGAACACCAACGAGACATTACCTGGTTCAGAGATGGTTTGTATGCAACAGCTGGGTTTATATACATACACCTCTATGAATATACCATTTAAATTCATTGCTGTGATCTAAAGTTCACAGAAGATAACTAGAATTCAGGATTCTTGAGCTGCTCTCAGCTCTTCTCAAGCTACAGATGTTATTATTTAATTTGTATGTTTTCCTCATTTGTAAAAAGATGATACCACTAAAATGTTTTGGAGGTAATGACATTTCTGCTCATCAGAACAGTTTAAGAGCCTTAGTTCTATACGGTGAAGGTGCCAAGTGTTGGAAAAGCCAATGGTTCTCTAGTGATATTCTGTGTTGTTCTGCTGGCAATCAAGGATGTTGAGTTTAGCCAAACTGGTCATCTTTCTGTGCTATTAAGTTTTGGAAAGAAGAAGCAACACAGTAAGCCTGCTCTTGCCGTTTCAGCACTTCTGCCAGAATCAGCTGTGAAAACAGCAGGAACTATTGAATTTTAGTGATTTAAGGAGCATTTGGGTAGAGTCTGTATCTCAGATCTGATAAATATACACAAAATGCACAGTATGAGCCATTCCATTTTCTTGGTTTTGAGCACTACTCAGATGAAAGATCCTGCATGCTGAGCAGTGATATATCCTTAGTTAGAGCTGGCATCATGTCTGGCAGACTGAAAAGCATCCAGTTACCTGGTGTGAAGAGTATTTTTTACTCACTAATTCATCTGATACCGCATTTTATTCCTCTTTTTCGCTTGGACTGCAAGCTCTTCAGGTCAAGGGCCACGCATTTTGCTCTGTGTTTGTGTACAAAGGGAACACAGAGATATAGCAACAAAGGAGGCTCAGAGTCCATGACTATAGCTCAGAGGAATAATAAGAATTTCAGGAGTGTCTTACAGATCCCTCATCTTGCTCTGTGGTTTTTTCTGCATTTGGAAATATGCCACTCCTGACTCAACCAGTTCAGGTGGAGTTCCTCTACCCCTTCTCATGCTTCACAGGTGAGTTGCTGCAGAACTCTGACCGTCGGGAACTAAAGTACCAAGACCGGGAGGCTTCTCTGACGGTGTCATGTGCTTACAAAGAAGATGAGGGATTCTACACTATCCGCGTCCCCTCGCTGGATGGATATAAAGAGCAGACCACTTATGTGTTTGTTAGAGGTATAAGCAAGATTCTATCCTACTGAGAACAAAAGCTCCTTTCCTAATACCTTGACATAAAGGAATTCACAACCTCATTCACAAGAAAATGTCTCCCAATTTTGTGCATGGATACAATTATCAAAATCTCCAAAATTTATTTTTCAGTAGTAATTTAAGTATTAGAAAATATGATTTGTATTACTGGGATGTAGGCCCTTAGACACTTAAAATTAAGCTACTGAATGAAAATTTTGCTACAGAGAAGAAAAAAGCCGAACCACTATCACTGGGTGTTTCTATAGATGCTGCAGCAGAAACAGCTGGTGCACCTGGATCCCCACTCAATGTGAAGTGCCACGATGTACACAAAGACTGCTTAATTCTTTCTTGGGTAGCACCCAGTGATAATGGAGGAAGTCCAATCCTGGGATATTATATTGAAAGGTCTGTATTAATCATCTCTGAGCAAAAAAACCTCATGATCGTGTTGTGGAAAAATCATGAAGGAACTCCATGGGCTGTGTTTCATTTCAGGTGTGTTGCTGGGTCAGAGGATTGGGTCCCATGCAATGACAAGCCAGTGAAAACCTGCAGATACCCTGTCTTGGGCCTCGCTGAAGGAGAGACGTACCAGTTCCGAGTAAAGGCTGTCAATAAAGAGGGCATCAGTCATCCTTCAAAAACCAGTGATCCAGTTACAACATATGACCCCAGCAAGGACAACAGAGTGACAGGTTTGCAATAAAAACAGGAACATTTTCTCCTTAAGTACAATGTGAGGCTGCAGGTCTAACTGAATGCAGTTTGTCCAGATTCTCCCCATTCTCACAAATATCATTGCAACATACTGCCATGTTGTGCCTTTGCCAAACCCACCTTAGTACCATTCTCAACAGAAAAAGATCAAAATACCAGTTATGACATTTCATTGTATGTGTAATGAAATGTAAATAATTATGCATAGAATTCAATTATACAGTCCTGGGCTCTGTCTGTTTTGACAAGCCCCAAGCATCTTCTCTTAGTGGATAACATTGCCCTGTTTGACGTTACAGTTATTCCGTACGATGATGGCAGGACGATAGGAATTTGCAAGGATGACGTGGAAGGTAAGTTCAGATTTATATACTGAGCCATTCTCTGAGAGAGAAATGATTGTTCTACAACAAGGAGATCTGTAATAATATGACTGGAGAAAACACACTTAGGAAAATATATGGTGAGCTGCATAAGGACCAGAAACCATCCTAAACAGCACAACCTTTTATAATAAACTTGGTTTGCCTCTACGTTCCCAAAGGGTTTAAGTCTCCTCCTTTATATTGAAGGATCTTACTTTATAGTGGGAAAAAAAAATCCATTGTAAAATAACTTTTTTTCCCCTGCCACGTTATAACTAAAGCATCACCTATTCTGACTTCCCACAGGACATATCAAAATTCCCTTGCCACCCACCAATGTTCATGCAAGCGAGGTCAGAGAAGATTATGTGGCTTTGGCCTGGGACGAACCAGACCCAAGAGGCAGAGAGCCACTAGATTATTATGTGGAAAAGGTAAGAAAATAATATCATATAGAAGAGAAACTGCAGAACAGAATCATTTATTTCTCAGATGGTCTAGAGCACAGGCAAGGCTATTCACTCTGTCGATAACTGGAGAACTACACCCTCAGAATGGCTTGCTCAGCCTCCCTCCAGCTCCAGTTTACCTGAGCTATGATCCTCACTCTTGACAGAGATGGATGAGGCTTTGAGCTACCTGGTCTAGTGGAAGGTGTCCCTGCTGATGGCAGGGAGGTTGGAACTGGATGATCTTTAAGGTCCCTTCCAGCCCAAACCATTCCATGATTCTATGACAGCAGCTCAAGCAGTAATGATTAACAAGGAATAAACAAGTACGTTTTACACCACAGAAGAGTAGCAGAATTTTAACAGAAGACTGTTCCTGCCCTATGGGCCCTTAAGTGTGGAAAAGCTGTGAAGAACTGCACAATAGTTCACTTTCCTGTTGCCAACTAATCATTTTGTTGGTTAATTAGAATCTTCTACCAATCTCCTTTCATACCTACTCCTTGCCCACCCACTGTACCATTTCTGCTGCAAAGGGACCCTCTGTTGCCAAGGAAGAAAAGCCTGGGTATATCAACAAGAAATACATTATTTACATTTTTTGTTTGGTTTTTTGTTGGCTTTTTTTTTTTTTGGTTGGTTGGTTGGTTTTTCTAAACTACTTTCCTGTAAAGATCAGTTTTGTTATTTCTCAGGAGGGTTTGAAGCCTGAGTTACAACAGGAGTTGTAAATCATCACCTTTTTCTTTACAGTCAATTGTAGGCAGCAACTCCTGGCAAATGGTTAATCTGGATACACCAGCTAATTCTCCAAGATTTGCACTCTTTGATCTTGTTAAAGGAAAATCGTACCGTTTCCGTGTGCGATCTGTTAACAAGTATGGAATCAGTGAGCCATCCCTGCCCAGTGAGCCTGTAACTGCTGGAGCCAAACTGGGTAATTATTTCATTAATATGCTCTACTCTAATCATATGGAAAAGGAGATGTACTATGAAAGTAATGTGTGGGTTCCTCTGCCCCTCCTTTCCTTTAAACTTCATGGTATATGATTACACAGCAGTTGCTTTGATATCAGGAAATCTCTTAAAGCCTTAAATCCTTGTTTAATTACTTTGCAGTTGGTCAGTGCAGTGTAAATCCAACCAAGCAATGATAATGGAATTACATTTAATAAAATAAGAAACAGTTGAAGCCTGTGTTTAATCCCAGTATGCTTCCAGCACTGTGGAAGAGAGAGCTTACACGAACCAGTGTTGGAAGGAATGATACCAGTGCTGAAGGAGCCTATTTCTGGGGACTTCACACAGAACAGCAGCCTCCGCAGGGCTGATTTGTTTTGTTTTCTTCCCAGACTGAGCTGACAACACTAAGGGATGCAAAGGCTCATGCCCATGTTTCCATTACACAGAGGGATGAGCCCTCACTCTTTTATTTTTTTACATTCTCCCATATTAAAGCTGCCCTAGTGTTCATTCACAACTGTCCTTTCTTCTCAGGAGTGAATCAGGTTCCATTTCATAGTGGAGCCACACGAGAGTTACTATCTGAGTCTCACTTCTCCTCCACTTCAGCGAAGGTTAAGCAGGTGTTACTCTGCAGAAATCAATGGGCTGTAAGGGAGAGGAACATGAGATACAACAAACCCAAATGTAAAAATACAGGCTGTAGACTGGGACAATGTCCACAGTATTTTGAAAATGATGCTCTGGAAAGGGTGGATAAATCAAACAGGCCAACTCACTTCTTTCTAATTTATAAATTTAAAAAAAAAAATTATCTGGGTTTTTTTTTTTTTCTTTTCTTTTTTTAGCTCCTCTGCCTCCACCATCTCAGGTTCTAGCTTTCAGAGACACCAAGACATCTGTTGTTTTGCAGTGGGATAAGTTAAAGGATGGGCTGGAGCCTCTTGGCTACTACATATACTGTCGGGAGACTGGGACAGAAGAATGGCAAACTGTGAATAATAAACCCGTGACACGTAATGAGTGAGTTCAGCTATTACACTCCACTGAGAGAAGACAAGGTGCCAACTTGCATTCTTCTGCTTATGGCTGGAGTCGTATTTCAGATAAAAAAAGAATTTCCTTCACTGCACGCACATAAACTTGCACGCACACAAACACCACATCCTCTTTTAGGATTAAATATTGCTCAAGGTCTCGCTTTTACACCCAAAGCCAGACTGACAGCAAAGTCTGTGTCTATCTTCACAGACTCTGGATTTGCGGAAGGCAGATAGACCTTGTGGCACCAGCAGACCACATTGCATTTTTTTTTGCTTGCTTTCCAGTAGAGAAAGTTGGTGTCACTCACACGTATGATTTACAAAACTTCTCTAGTTGTGGGGGTCAGAAGTCAAGCAGAAAAAGTCCATTTAAAAGTCCTATTTATTCTACCAACACTGCCAGCAGGCAGTGTGATATCTCTCTATCTGATCTATATTTACTGCCTGATTTATTGGGAGCCATTTTATGTGCCACAGTGACTTTAATTTGTAACAGCAAATAATCATTTTGTAAGTAACAATGCCTTATTAAATCGTATTGCTTGTCTGTTCAAAAGACTGTTTACCTGTACTTTGAACAGTCAAACACAAAGATATTAATTTGCTCTCCTAGATTTACTGTTCCTGGGCTGCAGCCTGGAAAAGAATATGTCTTTTGTGTGAAATCTGTCAGTGAGGCAGGACTAAGTGAAAGCTCACCAGAAACAGAGCCGATCGTTGTAAGGCCGGCTATTGGTAAGTGACATATACACACACATACACACAAAAATTAAATCCCTCAAAAATGTACCTGTCACACAGAGCTATGATTACATGTAGTGATAGTAATGTTGAGTCGATACATAAAGCAAAGCAACAGGGAACGGATTTTCTTGTACCCTGCAGCTCCTGCCATCTATTAACTTGTCAAGGGTGGCCATAGTTAATTAGCATTTTGATTTAGCAATGTGTTACATTTTCAGCGTGCATTTGGCACTGGTACCAGTGACCATTTTAAGTGCTCAGTTATGCTGGTATCTTGAAATCAGCATTGTTAATTTCTCCAGGCCAATTACAGAATCCTACCAACCTCATTAGTCAGTATCTAACCCTTCATCTTCTCCATTTTATCGACCCACTGCTTGATCTTTTCTGTCAGACAAACCATAAAGCAACACGCAAGAAACATCCTGAGACATATCCGTGACTTCTCCTGTGACTTCCACATAAGAATGTGGTCATTTTCAAATACGTTCACACTGCAAAAGTGGTATTAGGGGGCCTTAACACAAATAGAATCACAGCTGGTCTGAGCACACAGAGATTTCCTCAGCCCTGTTCATCCCATACCTACACCTCTTTTCCTGACCCCTAAATCCCAAACCTGCGTTGAACAATATTGTGTTTTCTCTCCCTTCGCTGTGCAGCTCGTCCATCAGCACCACACAGCTTTGTTCTTCTCAACTGCGGGAAGGCTGACATGACCATCAGCTGGAAACCCCCGAAACGCAAGGGAGGAACAAAGATTCTGGGTTATTTCCTAGATCAGCATGATGCATCTGAACTAGATTGGCATGAAGTCAATATTCAGCCAATTCCTCAACGCGTCTGCACGGTATTCATTTCAGATACAATACTGGCCTTTCAGCATAGTGGGAACCGTAGTTGTAACAAGGATTGAACTGTTTTTCCTCTACTTCCCTCTAGTCTAGAGGTCTCTTCCTACCCTCACAAGACTACAACCATGCAGGGCTGTACTAATAATCTGTTTGCACTTCTGAACCTAAAGGTCAGCAACCTTAAGGAAGGTCACCTGTATGAATTCCGTGCCTGTGCAGTGAACATGGCTGGTGTTGGGGAAGTATCTGAACCCAGTGACTTGTTCAGATGTGAGGAATGGACAATGCCAGAACCAGGTACCTGTCATGTAAAAACAACAGCCAGAAAAATATTACCAGCTATACCAGTTATCTCCTCACTCTTCTGTGAATCCAAGGAACTTCTAGAAACCATCAGTCTGTCTAAGGGTGGATCCTAGTACAGAAAAGTGCACAAACGCTTCTAGGGAAGTTACAATTCAGACACAGGATATTATTTCTGCATTACACAGACACAGCACCCAGGTATTTTTAATAATGTTTCCATAGAATGAAGAATCTGGATCTAATATCTTAAAATCTTTGTATTACACCAAAGCAAATGACATTAAGCCTGCTGATGCATGCTTTTTTTTTTCTAGAACCCACCTTTACAATTAATTAGTAAAGAAAGCATCTTATGGACCCACTATTCACTTGTTGTTTAAAACTCTCTGCTTTCTGATCTCAAACTCAAAGTGCACCCTGTTGCATTTTTCAATGTTCCTGTTTGACAGCCTACCCTTCTTTGAACAGGCCCTCCTTATGATGTGAGGTGCACTGAAGTAAGAGACTCATCCCTGAAGCTCCACTGGGAAGCACCACTGTACACAGGAGCAGGTCCAGTTACAGGGTATTACGTAGACATGTGTGAAGAAGGGTCAGAGGAATGGAAACAAATAAATAAGCAGCCCATCGCCACCACCCATATGAAGGTCTGTATATGCACTTAGAATCCAAGTGCTGCTTCTCATTTAGTCTCACATTAATTCCTGTCATTGTTTCCTGCAGATTTCAGAGCTGGAGACAGGGAAATGCTATATTTTCCGAGTAAGAGCACTGAACAAGGCTGGAATTGGACCTCCCTCCCTCCCCTCAGATCCTGTGGTGGCTAAAACCAAACCTGGTATGAAAGTAAAAGTGACAAGACTGTGCAAGTCTGTGATGATTTTACTGTGATGATTACAGTAAAAAACTGCTTCATGAAACATCAGCTGCATGTTTCATAACAAGAAAGAACCTCAGTAAAAACAAAGATTAGCAAATCAAACTGCCCAAATGAATTTCCTCTAGCTGTGCACTCTTTATTTTTGTCTCTTTTTTGGTCTTTCTTTTTCTAGTTAGATGCCCAGAACCTAAGCCCTGATCTGTTTTGGTAAGGAGTGTTTTATGGGTTTTTCTCTCATACAGGCACAAATGAAATTGAACTTGGGGTCGATGAGGAGGGTTTAATTTACATGGCTTTTGAAGCTCCTGAAAAGAATGAATCCTCAGAATTTATCTGGTCAAAGGACTATGAAGGACCACCAGATGCTGACAGAGTTCAGACTGAAGAGAAAGGCAATAAGTGAGTACACAATACACATTGAGAAAATTAATTGTGGACTGTTAAATACAGAACAGATTAAACACTGAGAAAAATGTGAAGCCAAATATTTCCCTCTCTTTCCAACATTCAGTTGAAATACGTACACACAATTGAACTTCTGCAAATCTCTATACCCGATTCTCAGCTCTGGTGCCCATGAAATGGGGCGTTCAGTGCAATCTTCAGGTCACAAAAGGGAAGCATCAGCCATCATATTGCTAATGTTTTTGTCCTGCTCCTCAGTGTCACATATAAATGACAATGAGTGCTATATTGGATGTTACAGCTGTATCAAATGTGTTCCCTTCTGTTACAGAAGGCATATTTTTGAGGAACATATTATTATTATTATTATTATTATTAT